AATAACTTGTTTATTTTGGATAATGATGATGTTAATTTTTTCATTCTTTCTACCTATATGACATCACCATCCTTTTCCACCTCTTTTATTACACACAACTCTATAATGTGGCATGCTAGGCTTGCTAATATAAGAAAATATTAGATGATCCTATTAGCCAAAGAATGATTGTTGCCTTTATCCAAAATAGACATGCTTATTTGTGAACCATATATACCTGGAAAATCAACTAGAAAGTCATTTTCTAAAGCAAAGAGAGAAACCGGTCTTCTAGATATAATACATTGTAACATTTATGGTTCATTTAATGAGATAGCCCATAACATTTCCCATTATTTTATCATATTTATTGATGATTATTCCCACTACGGGTATGTATACCTAAAATCGCATAAATCACAAGCAATAGATTGCTTTTGCTGTTTTATACTAGAGGTTGAAAATCAATTGGACAGAATAATTAAGGTTCTTCGCACTGATCAAGGACGAGAATACTTATCTGATCAAGAAGCTTTGTAAGGATTAGAGAATCCGAAGATAAGAGATGATGTCCTGCACTCTGCATCAAAGTGATGTTTTAGAAATAATGAATCATACTTTGTTGGACATGGTGAGGTCTATAATGATTCACGCCAACCTTCCAAGATCGTTTTCGGGAGAAGCACTCCTTACTGCGATGTATATCCTAAGCAGAGTACCATCAAAATCCATTCCCAAGACCACTTATAAGTTATGGACAGGTAGAAGCCATATCTTTCTCATTTACGTCCTTGGGGGTCAGCTGCACATGTTTACATCCCTTCTCAATTGATAGGAAATCTAGATAGGTGATCTCTTGAGTGCATTTTTGTCAGATATTCTGAGCACTCGAAGGGATATGTGTTGTGTCAAGAACGTGATGGTGGCAGGATGAAGGATATAAAATCTCGCGATGTAGATTTTATATAGACAAAATTCCCTAACAGGAAGCAGTTTCGTATGTCTGAATCTCAGACATACATTGAGATAGTTCCTTCATTTGAGGGTAATAGTGGGAGTTTTCCTACTATTATTAATGATAGTGAGAGTCAGCCACTGGTTGAGAATGAGCATATGACCCATATTGAATCACCGACCATGCTAGAGACACTTATTGAGAGTAAATCGTCGGTCGAACTTCGAAGGAGTCAACGTGGTAAAGTTCCTCATAGACACTTCGAAGTAGAGGGTCTCACATGCATTTCAGTTGATGTTGATGAGCCTAATTTCAAGAGGCCATGAATTCTCCTGCTATGGACTATTGGATGTCTGCTATGAAAGACGAGCTTAGTTTTATGGAGCAGAATCAAGTCTAGGAACTTGTAGATCTGCTACCTAATAGAAGATTAATTGGAAACGAGTGGGTCTTGAAAATTAAGAGAAAGGCAGATGAAACTATAAATAAGTATAAAACCTACTTAATGGCAAAAGGGTTCACCCAAATTGAGGGAGTGGACTACATTGAGACATTCTCTCCGGTGGTGAGAATAACCTCAATTCGCTTAATCTTAACAATCGTCACACATATGGACCTGGAAGCCTTTTAAATGGATGTGAAGACTGCTTTTTTGAATGGTGACTTGATGGAAGAGATTTATATAGAGCAACCCGAAGGTTTTTAGCCTATGGCTTTGAGTGCAAAGTGTGCAAGCTCAATAAGTCCCTATATAGGAGCAGTTTTCAACAAATGGCACTAACTTACATAAAATAAAAACAACTATTTGTTCTCCTCCATTGTCTCTCCCTCAAAAAAATCATTTATTAATCTCTCCCTTATCCGATAACCTATCTTATTAAAAACGTAAACCACCAAATCCTACTATTGCTTCTCTTTCTAAAACCAACAATTGTTTCTCTCTCTAAACTTCATGTCTCTACCCCAATTCCCTTTGTTGTTTGCCTTGATTGAGAGAGAGAGAGAGGCCACATCTTCAAATGCCCCAACTGTGAAAAGTGATGAAGTATATTCATCTTTTTTTTACAGAAAGAGAAAGTGAGTGATCCCTCTTAGAAAAGAGATCTTGAGAGAGAAAGAAGAATCTTCTCTCTCTCTCCGAAGTGACCTTTGGCTTGAAAAAAAGAAAAAAAAAAAAAGAGAAACAAAATGTGCCCCCAAAGGAAAAAGATGATCGGCTCAACATCGTTACCCTCCTCATCTCTCTCGCCCTTTTAGGCTACACCCTCTCCCTCCACTTCTCTAAATACCACTATACCCTCCTCATCTTTCTCGCCCTTTTAGGCTACACCCTCTCCCTCCACTTCTCTAAACACCACTATACCCTCCTCATCTCTCTCTCTCCTCATCTCTCTCGCCCTTTTAGGCTACACCCTCTCCCTCCACTTCTCTAAACACCACTATACATCCTCCACCCCATGCCTCCACCTCCTCCAAATCCCAACCCTACCGCTCTTCCTCTTCTTTCTCTCTCTAGCCGGCCCCTTCGGCTCGCTTTGTAAAATTCCATTCCTTCTCTATGTTTACGACTTCATAATGTTTGCTAGCCATTTTCATAGTCTTTGCATTTGTGGTCACAAATAAGGGCGCAGGTTGGCTTGTATCAGGGCGTGGTTTCAATGATTACAGGCCTGGTGATTATTCAAATTGGTTGCAAAAAAGGATTAGTGAGCCTAAAACATGGATTAAGATTAATGGTTGTATCATTGAAGCTCATATGTGTGGTGGGTTAGGGCATGGTGATTTTGTGCAACAAAAGGCTGATGAGTTTTATAGGAAGAATTTATCCCCTATTTAGGTATGTATTTCTTTTTATTTTTCTTTTTATTTTTATTTTTTATGATGAAAAATGTTACTTGGGTTTTGAGAGATTTGGATTTTTAGTAAATTTCAGAGTAAAATTACTGATGAATTTATAGTTGTAATTATGCATGTATTAGAGGTGAGGCATGCATGATGTAACATGATTATTTTACTTTAAATTTTGTATTGAACTGTACTATAGGGTTATATAGAAAGGTCCTTGTGCCCTATTATTAAAATATAATCCAATAAAGTGAAAATATAATATGATCTAGTTGACTTTGGAATTAAAATTCATTCACTTTCTTCCATAGATTATCATTAAAAATTGCCCCATATGTATTAAATGGGCATGATATTCATCTTTGTACATATTTTGAATATGGAAAAGGACCTATTTTGCATATTTTTTTTACTTTATTTAAACAAGACTAAACTTATTTAGTCCCCAAACTTTCCACAGTTGGGGGATCTGAGTGCAGATTGGTGTTTTACATTAGAGTATGGAAGGATGTAATGTTATTCCCCAAGTTTGTGTACCTTTCTTTTTTTTAAAAAAAAAAATCAAACCATAGGTAGATGTCTCACTTTGAAACACAAATACGACTCTCTCCCTCATACACAAAGATACACATGCATATGTGTTACTTATATGCATGAAAACTGATCTCTCTCTCTCTCTCTCTCTCTCTAGGTGCAGTCGGGTTGTTGCAAGCCACCGACAACATGTGGCTACGTCTACCACAACGCAACCTTTTGGGACTTACCAAATCCGGCACCCTCAACTCTACTGACCATGATTGTCTGCTTTGGAGCAACAACCAGATGAAGCTCTGCTACAACTGTGGCTCATGTAAAGCCGGTGTGATCGCCAACCTCAAGCATGACTGGCGGATGATCGCAGCCGTCAATGTAGCCCTCCTCCTCTTCCTCATAATCATCTACTCCCTTAGTTGTTGTGTGTTGACAACTATTACAAGGGACACATATATGCTTAGCACTAAGCTCTCTTTCTCTATAATTTGTGGTAAAAAGGAAGGCATGATACTTGCCTTAAGCAACGATTTATTAGCTTTTTTTATTGCAGTTTTATTGGTGAATTTCTCGGATCCTAATTTTTCTCATGCATGTGTAACCCAATTTGTTATTAGGGTATATTAGTTTTTTGTTGAAAAACCCTCAAATTAATCACCTCCACCAACAATATTAGATTGGGAAATAAACAATTGAATTTCATGACCTAAAGACAATGTATTTTATAAAATATTGGAAATTGTTTTCCTCATTATTCGATCCCAAGCAATAGATAATAGATGGATTGTACCTCATAATGCAAAGCTACTCATCTGCTATAATTGTCACCTAAATGTGGAAGTTTGTTATACGATTAAGGCAGTGAAGTACTTATACAAATACATATACAAGGGTCATGACAAGTGTCGATTTACGATTGCTAAAGATGATGAAGGCATAATAATTGTTGAGGTTAAAGATTTCCAATATGCAAGATGGGTTTATGCAATGCATGGAGAATTTTGGGATTCTATATGAACGCATCACCTGATGTGTATAGACTCCAATTACATCTTCCAAATCAACATATGATTCAGTTAATGAAAATGATTAAATTGAAGATTTATTACGCAACGGATTCCTAAATAGGACGAAGTTGATGAGTTTCTTCGATAAAAATAGGTAATAACATCTTCAATTTGTTACATGTTATTTTTATAATAATGAGATATTGATGAGAAACATCACATTATAAATTATACATAAAGCTTAGATTATGATAATCATCATTTCTGATGCATATCTTTACATAATAATGAGAAGTGCACATATAAAGAATTCCCAAGTAAATTTGTCTATGATGACAGTTTACGAATATGGAAAGAAAGAAAGAGTGTATTTGCAATAGGAAGAATTTTTACTGCAAATCTTACTGAAGGAGAAAGTTATTATCTGAGAGTTTTGTTTAACAATGTCCAAGGTCCAACTTCTTTTGATGATCTCCTAATGGTGGGTAACCATAAAACGAAGACATTCAAAGAAAGTGCCCAATTACACGGATTACTAGAATCTGATAGTGATATAGTCAATTGTTTAGAGGAAGCATCTAATTCAATATGCCGAGTGTGATGCGCCAACTATTTGCGATAATACTTTTGCATTTTGAACCCAATAATATTTTAATGATTTATGGAGGTCAACTTTTGGTGCAATGGCAGAAGATTATGCTAAGGCAAACCCAAATAATGAAAGAATTGTACAAGATCAAGTTTTGCGTGGCATTCAAAAGTTTTTGGAGAACAACCATAAAAAACTTAGAGATTGCGATCTGCCAAATATTGTGGGTACCAATCCAATTGAACCTACAATACCTTTTATTGTTCAAGAAGAGCTCTCAACAAAGACTTTAAAAGATGATATATCCTCAATACAATTGTTGAATTTTCAACAAAAACTTGCATACGATAGAATACTATATGCAGTTTACAATGATAAGCCATATGTATTCTTCATAGATGGCCCTAGAGGAACTGGTAAGACATTTTTGTACAAGGCACTTCTTGCAACTACAAGGACAAATGCGCATATAGCATTGGCAACAACTTCATCTAGAATTGCAGGGACAAATTTACCAGGCGGAAAAATTGCACACTCTAGATTTAAAATTCCGCTCAGATCTGATGCATGCTATTTTTGTGACATTTCAAAGCAATCAGATTTAGCAACATTAATAAGGCAGACAAAAATTATTATTTGGGATGAAGCACCAGTGACAACTAAATTTGCATTTGAGGCAGTAGATCGAATATTACAAGATATAATGCATTTTGGAGGAAAAATTGTGGTATTGGGTGGTGATTTTAGGAAAATATTGTCGGTAGTCCCCTGTGGGACAAGATCGGAAATTATGGAGGTAACTTTGATTCGGTCATATATTTAAAGTTATCTTGTTGAGGTTGCAAGATAATATGCGAGCAAAAGCAGATTGTGATTTTGCAAGATTCCTTCTTCGAGTTTGGAATGGTGTTGAAGAGACATATAATAATGACTACATAGGGATCCCAGATCACATATTTGTACACATTCAAAACCATGTTGATGATAAACTATTTTTTATTGCAAAATTTTTTAGTTTAGCATTTGAGAATGTTGAATCCCCCAATAAGATTTGCAATAGAGCAATTTTGTCTACAAAAAATGAATGGGTTGATGAAATGAATAACCGAATCATTCAACTATTCATTGGGGATGAATTTTCTTACTGCAGCTTTGATAGCGTACCTGAAGATACACACAATTTGTATCTGGAAGAATTCTTGAATGGACTGACATCAAGTGGTTTCCCACCACATATACTTACAATAAAAGTCGGAGCTCCAATTATATTACTTCGCAATGGAACAAAAATATATGTAGGGGATTCACAAGGAATGCGATCTATGCAAATGCAATAAGTAGAAATCATCAAGGAAAAATAGTTTCATACCAAGAATACCATTACTACATTCAGAAGATACAAATATATCAATTAAATTTAAAAGAGAACAATTCCCAATAAAATTAACATTTGCCATGACAAATAATAAAAGCTTAAGGCCACAATTCCATATAATAGTGTGTTTTTAGAGGATGATGTGTTCGCACATGGGCATTTGTATGTAGCTTTATCAAGAGGAATAAGCTCAAAGACAACACTTATCTATGCGAATCGACATACAATTGAAGGTCATATAGGAAAATATACAAAAAAATATAGTTTATAAAGAGATCCTCCCAGTTAAAGATTAGTGTTTAAACTTGAAGGTAAGATCACTATAACTTTTGAAGAAATTAAAAAAAAATATTATGTCAATAATTACTTCAAAGATTTTCTTATGATGTTATTCATTAATTTATGCATTTGAAGTTTTTTTATTACTCCAAATTTCAGGATGGATAAGGATGTGGGTACTATCTCATCTCGTGCATTGGGACTGATGTTGAAAGGCATAATTTTGAGGTTGATACATAAGAGTGAACTTTTCAAATATTATGAAACACTATCAAGAGCATATCTTTATTGATCAACATGTAAGTGTTATTTATTTATTACACCTTTGTCGTTATTTTTATATTGCATTACTTAACTATTAACATAAACTTATGTACATATTCATTGTTATTATCATATGTTATGATCATTATCAATAGCTTAACTGTTTAATATACAATTGTGTGACAAATTGAATTATGCAGGCACAAGAAATAGAGGGCGCATTATTCAGTGATGCCCTCTAAATATTTGAAGAGAAGTTAGTCCAAGGTAGAATTTATCGTGTATTAGACTTCAAAGTGAATAACACACTGCCAACATATCAAGTACTTAGATGCAAGTATGGAATGATCATTTCAAAGATGACGACTTTTTTTAAGATTGGAGATGAAGACAATTTTTCAAAAAAAAAAAATATAACTTCATCAAATTTTCAAGGATGCAAGACTACATAGGACATATTCCCTATCCATGTATCATATTGAATTTCTAAGAATGAGTTAATTACATATTATTTATTTATACAAATATAATAACTCTATTTTTTATATAGATATTGTTGGAATCTGGATAGATAGCATTATTGAAAAAACCATGTCTAGAAAGAGGAAAGAAGAAGATTGCTCCAAGAGGGATATTGTTCTAATGGATAACAAGTATGGAGATTTATATTATGTTTTTTTTTTTTCTAAATTTGTACTATAAAAGTTGTTTACTATTGTACACTATTTAAACATGAAAAACAAGTGCCTCTTAAAAATTTGGGGAAACTTAGGCGTTGATTTTGCTAAAACGTCATCATCTGCTAAAGTTGTCATTATTACCAACATACGTGTTTCTAAATTCAGAGTTAATTATATTAAATTCAATTTTAACAAAATAAAATTGTGTTTTTTGTACTTACAATGCATATTTATATTGCAGAACTCATACAAATATCAACAATTAAATATAGTCAAATAGTTGTCAACAATTAAACATAGTCAAATAGTTGTTAATTCGCAGGATGTTGAATTCCAAAAACTGTGCGATTGGTATGTAGTTACAAATATCTCCATTAATATAAATTGATAATATTAAAAATTTCTAAATTCACAAATTACAATATTAAAAATTACATTCATCCTTCAGGTTTGAGTTGAATAAAGACATGAGAAGTCCAGTTACAATCATGCTCAAAAGATCTAAGAATATTGTATTTTCGGTGCCAATAAGGACAATACAAAAATAAATGAGGTGCTCATTTCTGGCCTCAAAAAGGTAATATCATTTTAATAAAATAATTTGTGTAACAAGTTCTTACTTATGACTAGTTTGTCATATTATAATTAAATATTCTTGCTAGGATGAAGTTCAATATCATCACTTTCAAGGAGTTATAACAAATATAGATACACATTCAAATCTTTGGTATAAAGCATGCAAAACATGCAGCAAAGATGAGAAGTATCTTTGTGAAAAATGCAACAAACAACCACCTCCATTCATAGTCGAGAGGTAATTTACATGAAACTTATTTAGTTATGAAAGTTTATTATATATTGTGTAAAATAACACTATTTACTTAATTTATTTTGATTAGATGCTATTTCAAGATTGATATTTCAAATAATTCCAGCACAATTCAACTTGCCGTCTTTGATGATAAATGAGAAGAGCTCTTAGGAAAGTCATCAAGTGAGATCTCTAAGCCATTTGGTAAATATATTTATATGTATTCAAAATTTAAAATATATGTTTTTCAGTTACAAATATTTCCTAGAACTTTAAACTTAATATCCAACACTAATTTTTCATATTTATATTTTAGGTACCAACCAACTATATGGTGGAAGATGCATTGAAGAATTTAGACTTAGAGAACAAATAATAAATTTTTGGAATTAAGGCTTCCATTAATAACTCATATTCATCGCTAAACTTGGTTTTGCAATCTTTACAAGACCCATCCCATGTTATTCCTAAGAAGCTCAACTTAGGCAATTAGTATATATTTTATCTTTTTCATACTTTAGGATTGAATCTAAAAAATGATTCTTTCATTAGAGTGCTGATGAATTTATTTTCATACATTTTTAATTTAACTCATTTTTACTTAATTGTAATCGATTATAACGTTTTGGAATATGGACAAGATTTATTTAAGTTTGAATATATTTGTTGTATCGAAAGAAAAAATTACATAGATTTCAATTCATCATATTCATTCTCTCACCCTCATTAATTGAATGATTCCTTTTAAATATATTATTTCAATAATGAAACTTTATTCAATTATACATATATCATATCACGTGTAACGCACGTGCATCACACTAGTATATATTAAGCGAGAGGAATACCCTCGTTATTTTTGCGCCACATGTCATTTTTTTTTAATTTTATCCTATTAATTCTTAGTTGGGCTTTATTTTTCCCTTCTACTTCACATTTCTCTTCGTTCTCTCGCTTCCCCCATACCTTCATGCACCTCTTCTCTTTCTTTTTCACTTTCATATATTAAGCGAGAGGAATACCCTCGTTATTTTTGCACCACATGTCATTTTCTTTTAATTTTGTCCTATTAATTCTTAGTTGGGCCTTATTTTTCCCTTCTACTTTACATTTCTCTTTGTTCTCTCTCTTCCCCCATACCTTCATGCACCTCTTCTCTTTCTTTTTAGCTTTCATAACTTCTTTCCTAATACTCTCTTCTCCTAAAAACTTGGTGCGTATATATATATATATATATATGTCATTTTGAAAATATTTTATGATCTTTTACTTCATATTTATTTGTCTTCTCTCTCTTGCCCCATACCCTCACGTGCCTTCTCTCTCTCTTTCATAATTTTGTTTCTAATTCTCTCTTCTTTAAAAAAAATGTTATATGTATATCATTTTGAAAATTCTTTCCTAATACTCTCCATTTCCAAAAATTATTTAGCCTTTCTAATTTTTTGAAGTTCTTATCACTTGAGTGTTGAGAGAAAGAGAAAAAAATAAATGGAGGTTCCTAAAATTGATGTGTGCAGGAAAGAGAGATGATTTTAAATTTCTATTTTAAGTTCTCTATTATTTAGTTTTTCTTAAATTTTGGAGCCTAGAGAGAGACATAATGGCTCCTAAAATTAGTGCGTGCAAGAGAGAGAATCATTTTAAATTTATATCTTAACTTCTTTATTATTTAGTCTTTTTTTTTTAAGTTTTGGAAGTTGCTATCTTAAATGAAAATGTTCCTAAAATTTGTGCGTAAAATAAATGAAAATTTCTATTTTAATTGCTCTATGATTTAGCAATTTTAAAATTTTTGGAAGCTGATATCTTAAATAGAAATGTTCCTAAAATTGGTATGTGAAATAAATAGAAAAGCTTCTGCGATTCAATATTTTGGGTTGTACTATAGAGAGAGATAAATAGAAAGTAGAATTTTAGAATTAACTTATTTAAGAAACGTGGTATTAGTTTGTGAGAGCGGAAAATAACAAATAAATAAGAGAGAGATGTGCGAGAGAATCATCAAGGACATCACATAATATAAATAGACCATAGCTTTTTCTCTATTATCTGTCTATCATGAATATTCAAATGTACATTTCCGTAAAATTTTTAATTTTTTTTAATTTTTTATTGTATTATACATTTCCATTCCAATCTCTCTCTAATGGTAGAAGTCTTTCTCTCTCATGTGGGTATCTCTTGGATATGGTTTGATTTCATATTTGTGCCATAGTGGGGACTGATATTTGCTCTATTATCTTTCCATCAAGAATATTCCTAGGTACGATTCCTTAAAAGTTTTAATTTTTTTTAAATTTTGTGTTGTAGCATGCATTTCCATACCAATCTCTCTATAATAGTAGAAGTCTCTCTCTCATGTGGGTATCTCTTTGATAGGGTCTAATTTCATATTTGTGCAATAGTGTGGACTGATACTCTATTCTCTTTCCATCACAAAAATTCCTAGGTACATTTCCTTAAAACTTTTAATTTTATTTTAATTTTGTATTGTATTATGTATTTCCATGCCAATCTCTCTCTAAGGGTAGAAGTCTCTCTCTCCCTCTCATGTGGGTATCTCTTGGATATGGTCTACTTTGATATTTGTGCCATAGCGTAGATTGATATTTACGCTATTCTCTTTCCATCACAATATTCTCATATACGGTTCCTTAAAACTTTTAATTTTTTTAAATTTTGTATTGTATCATGCATTTCCATACCAATCTCTCTCTAATGGTAGAAGTCTCTCTCTCATCTGGGTATCTTTTAGATACGGTCTAATCTAATATTTGGGATAGTATCGACAATATTGCTATCCTTCCCTATGATCATTAGCATATAGATTATGTAACATCGCAAAGAAAGCCTTGATAATGCAAAACTGAGCTTTTCTTGACAATGAAATGAATTGGTCAATACCTACATTCTAATAATAATCTTTATACTTATCATGATTTGGAGATTTTATGGATTTTAGCGAAATGAAAACAAACTGTGGAATCTACATGTATTAGTGAATGCTAATTAAGTTGAAGATATGTTAAGAAATTATTGTAATCAAGAATGTAGGAAATATAAACTTCAAGATTAACTTACAAATACTATTCAACTCCACTTCACATAAGACCCAAAGTATCCCATTGTTAGTCATATAAAAAAGGTGGCAGCGACACATTAAAATTTGAACAAATTAGTCCTAGTCCTCATGAGATTATATGTGGCATGTAGCTTACTTTGTTGCTCGCTCCAATAAATAAGAGTAAGCACGCTGGATAAGGTCGTCTGCAAATGCTTCTTTTCAAAAGTCTACTGTTAAAAAAACTTTCTTATCATTTTTCAATTAATTGGGTGGCTTATTACACAAGCCAACACAATGAATATGAGTGAAAGTGGGGCATCCCACTCCATGAGCCCTTGTGTGCCCGATGCCATCGAGGCCTACAATGGTGGGATCCATGGACCTGTATATATTTTAATAATTTTAAAATTCATAAGATGATATTTAAAAATTAATTAATATTTTTATTTTATTTTTGAATAATTAAATACTTGAATTTTACATTTATTTAGAATTCAATTTTGACGAAATAAAATATCCATGTACTTTTAAAAGTTCATTTAAATTTTTTAACCCAATTTAAATTCAATTTAAAAGTTTTTTCATGGCCGAGGTAGGAATTTTTTTTTTCAAAGTTTTTTGAAAATTTACAAGAAATATACTTTAATTTTTATCTAATTAAAAAAAAATTTTAAAATTTCATAGAGTCCGTACCTTTTTTTTTCAAATTTGATTTCCTTTTGCCAAAATAGATTATATGGTAATCGTATTATCCTAATGATTATGTTTCACTGTAATATGACTATCATCAAAAATATTTTCCTAAAAACAATATAAAAAAAATAAAATAAAATATGTAGACGAGGAGGTTTATGAAATTAAATTTTTTTTTCAATTAAACAAAAATTAAAGCATATTTCTTATAATTTCCGCAGCTGTTTTAACCCAAGGCCCGATACTTTCCCTTTCATCACCCATCCCAGCCCTGGCATATAACTGGGTAGCGGGGACTTTCACCCATTTCACCCCTTTGGAAACATCCATTTCACCCTTTTCACTGTTCAAAGAACTGTCTGCCCATGGGGTGGGGTGTGCTCTCCCTCTTCTTCGAACCTCCCTTCCCTCTGTTCTCTCTCTCACCCTCAGCGAGCAAGAGCTAGAGGAACCTGTGCGAGCAAGAGCAACCCCTAGCGATCAAGATCAGCCCCTAGCGATCAAGAGCAGCAACCTCTCAATCAGTGAGTTATATGCGTATTTTCTACTTTTTTTTTGTTTTGTTTTTTTATTCTTACTGATTTAGGTTTTCGGATCCTCTCAGGGTCTTTTTTGGGAAACCCTGTAAAACAATTTAGGGCTTTCCTTATTTTTCTCTGTTGTAAATCTGCCTTAAAAAAGTTTAGGGCTTTCCCAATTTTTTTCTGTTGTAAATCTCCTGGATTTTATTCTGTTTTCTGGTTTCTTGCTCCATTTCTTTTCATCCACAAGTGAACAAGATAATCTGATTTATTTCATTAATTCATAATATTCGATGCCCCAAATGCATGTAAAAAATCAGCGACTTTGATTCATATATTTTTGTATCGGTGATTCTAGTGTGCTGATTCTAGAGAGCTACATTAGTTCTTTACTTCGTGGCTTGAAATGAGAGCTATGATACTTCAGTCTACAGTATGGAACTTCCATCACTTGCTATTGGCCTTCCATAAAGATTTTTTTTTTTTCTTATTGTGGTTTGGATTTCCTCTGTTTATTTGTTGGTTTTGTGATGTTCTGTACATAACAAAGCTGAGAATGTTCCTGTATGATCTGATTTATGTTTTTGATTCATAATATTTGATGCCCCAAATGCATGTAAAAAATCAACAACCTTGATTCATATATTTATGTATTGGTGGTTTTCGTTTACTAATTCTAGAGAGCTACATTAGTTCTTTATTTCGTGGTTTGAAGTGAGAACCACTGAATTTTTTCAGTTTACATCAGTGGTTTAAAACACGGATCGGATCGGGCACCTCAAAAACCCATCCAGATCGATGAATCGGCGATCCGGATCGAGAATCGGCTGAATTGGTCGAATTAAGTCTTAAAAAAAATCCAAAAAAATTATTAAAATTCATTATAAATGTTTTTATTTAGGAATCCAATAAGAAATGTGGGTACTATATTATTAACTTTCATTTTTTTCCATCAATTTACGAATATTGAGATGTTCTTTCCCGTGCGAACTTATGTTGATCATTAAATTTGCATCACATAAAAGAAAAATCATAGAATTATCATGGATGAAGTATATAATTATACATGGACTACAATAGAGAATGGATTAAATCGATGAAAAAGTGGCCACTAAAATCTCGAATTGGTGGAAAACCTTAATCCGCTAAAAAAAACCCAAATTATTACAACCTAACTAACTATAGTCCAAAATTATTACAACTTAGCTAACTATAATATTATATACTGAAATTGAAATTGTTGGTTTCCATTTTATAATTATTTTATTATACAACTAATAACAAATCCAAAATATCTTGTAATATCATCTAATTTAAAATATATTATTGACAACGGTAAGAAAAATAGTACATTGCATGATTTATAATGCAAATAAATTAATAAATAAAATAAAATATTTGGTTAATCAATGTAGAAATTACTAGAATGCGAGCCAATTTTCGAAATAACACTTTAATTTTTTTAAAATTTAATTTTTGAGGTTTTTAGAATAAATTTAGTGGAAGAGATTGTTAGTAGGGAGAGAGAGATTTCAAATGGCCTCATTTTATGAACCCTATCTTTAAATTAATATTCCTAAATTTATGTTAAAGATCACCATGTTATAAAAATAAAAAATATAATTACATCTTTTATTCCTAGGTTGTATTAAGAAATACTTGTTGTATTAATAAATACCTTTTATTTTTTTTGACAAGAAATATTTGCTGTATTACCTTTTTTTTTTACAAGAAAAATATGATACTTGTTGTGTTACTTTTTATTTATTTTTTGACAAAAAAAAGAAGAAGATGTTGTACTGCATTTTTTAAAATTTTGTATTACCTTTTATTTTATTTTTGACAAGAAATACTTGTTATATTACTTTTTATATTTTTTTGATAAGAAAAACAAAAATATGTTGTATTACTTTTTTTTTTTTTTTACAAGAAATGCTTGTTGTATTACCTTTTATTTTTTATTTTTTTTCCTTTTATTTGTTTTACAAGACTATTTTTTCCTTTTATTTTTTTATTTAAAATAAAAATAAAGCTCTAAATGGCACACGGTGGGTTTCGAACTTGAGATACGTACGCTGAAATCAAGAGAGCTAACCAACTGCACCACATCATTGCATGATACTTTTCCTTCCATAATAAATGTATACTTATATTACATCCTCATCTCTTATATTAGTCCCACATTGAAGGACGAGTGTAATATGTTGCTCTATCAATAGTTGTGGAATAGAATCAATTGTGTTCACGTGAAGGCACGGGGGCGAGGTGCCACACGAAGTTGCATTTCGGTAAGCGTGAGGTTTTGCCACGTGTAAGCCGCCGTCCCTCGTGCTATGTGTTGCTCCTCGGGACTGCCACGTGTCCACTTGCCCGATTTACTGTTGCAAATAGAACCGGTGAGTTTAGACCATAGTTAGCAAGTCGGGGACTATCAATAAATCGGCTCACCATAAAATCGCCGAGAACCGGTGAGTTTTGACCATAGTTAGCAAGTCGGGGACTATCAATAAATCGGCTCACCATAAAATCAGAAATAAGTCATTTTTATTTTAAAAAGTCGGATGAAAAAATCGGGTAATAAATACGGATCAGCAAAAATACTTCATATAAAGATAGCGCTAATATATCGGATTAGGCTCAAAAAATAGGAGTAAAAAAATCGGATAAATTTATAAAATAAGAAATTTTAAAATTCTAAAAAGTAAAAATTATGTCCAAGCTATCAATAACTAATGGCTACAGTTTGCATACAGATGCATCTGTAGGAGTAGACGTAAGGTGCACCTTCAAATTTATCATGGTATATAATTTTGATGTAAAATGTTATTAGGATTATCTCAAAATCTATTTTTATATCTAATTATAAAATTTTAATAAAAAATGGTTAAAATCAAGTAGATCTATAAACATATGAAAGTCTTGAAAATGGACGGTGTAGATAATATGTTGTGAAATGCACTATTTATGAGACTTAAAATATTTTTTTTTCATAGTCATACATCTCGATGTCGAGATGATCAATCAAAGGGTTTTTCAACATTGAAACTACCTTTTCCTAATAGATTTTTTAAGTGCATCCGTTGTTCTACATTATAAGGTTGCATCCTTATATAAACTTTTCCCATAGCTAAATCATCGATAAAAACTCTACTAGGCTAATATAATTAAGTCAATTAATTTAGATGTCGTGACTCTCATCCAATCATCTAATATGAAATACATAATTAACTAATATATACCAAAAAAATGTACCATATAAATCTACCCATGAAATATTTTAAGAAACATCCCACCTATTTTTTTTTAGAGAGCATGATTCCATATTTACAACAAATGGAATAGAACTTTTCTAATAATATGATATGACTCTGGAGGTCTAAGGAGAAGAGGAGTATGTCATCTATGTATATCAGAGCTTGTTTTGAAATTGGTTCAAAGATGTGGCTTCAAACTTTTTGAAAATATGTTGGAGCATTTTTCAAACCAAAAGGCATGACTGTCCATTGAAAGTGATAATTTGGTAGACAAAATGTTGTTTTGGGATGGTCATCTGGGTGAATTCCTATTTGCCAAAATCCTGATTTTAAATCAAATTTAGAAAAGATGTGTGCATTTGAAATTTGAGAAAACATTGCTGTTTGGTTTGACAGAGGAAATTTGTCATCAGCAAGAAAATCATTCACGGGTTGATAATTGATGACCAATCTGAGTTTTCCTCGAATTTGTTCTGCTTTTTTATTTACATAAAAGGCTTCACAAGCCCAAGGTGAACTTGTAGGTTCAATTAATTGTTCCTTTATCAAATCATGGATTTCCAGTTTAGCTTGTTCCAAAAGGTCTGGATTTAAACCTCTATGTGAAGCTTTTATAGGGTTTATATCCTCTTTCTTCTTAAATGGTAAGTTGACATAAACGTTCTGGGTTCTCCAAAGAGGATTTGTACATTTTTTGAGAAACTCAGTATGTGAATTAGCACAACAATCTGTCAACATTTTATGTCTAACAGTTTCAAGGCATGGTGACTGGTCTATGGATGTAATCCAGGGTAGCGTCAAGGATTTATAGTGTAGTCCCTTGTAGGTCCATTGAAGTTTTACTTGGTGAAGAACATCAAATCCAAGCAAAAGTTCTTTGTTGGGTAAATAGGATCCTAACAGTTTGTGTTGGATTACAAGTTTGGGAAAAAGTTTAATCAAAATGGGTTTGCTGATCTGGTTTATGGTAAATTTTTCTCCATCAGCAGCTATAAAAGTCGGGTGGCATGGTTCCCAAAATTGCTTTGGCAATAAATCTAGTTTTAAAATACTAGCAGATGCACCTGTATCAAAAAAGGCAGTGATTGACATTGGTTTAGCATAATGTTCTGGTAGTATTTGAACCATGGCTATTGGTGAGGGCTGCAAGGGTAAGATGGCTATATCTGTCTCATTTTCATGTGGTAGCAAGATCTCTGAGGAGCCTGTTTTGCATATTTCATTGACTTCATTTTCTTCTGAATAATATGCAATGGACAATAATGTTTCCGGGGATTGCTCATCATCTAAAGAAAAAATTGATTCTAAATCATCTTCGATTTCTTTATTCATTACCTGTGAAAGGAGATGAATGATCTTTTTCTTTTTCTTCTGATTAGGACAATTTTTTGCAAAATGTCCTTTTTGTCCTCGAACAAAACATCTATTTCCTTTCTTGTGCCTGGAATCTCGAAATCTTGATCTTCTAAGAAACTTAAATTTCTTTTTGTGCCTCCTTTGTTTAAAGGACCATTGCTCTTTCTGAGGTTTTGGACATTGACAAAGCTTTTCTGAATTACATTTGATTTTGAGATAAGGTTTTACACAAGATTTTCCTAATAAATGTTTGTTCTTTTCCATTTCTTTGACAAAGTCGACTTGATTGCAAAGTATTTCCAGAGCATGAAGAACATATTGATATAACTCACAAAAAGTGGCGTTTTGAATTGTAAGCCCTTGATTTTCCATAGTTTTCGTGGCCTCTTTGCC